CCCGACCGCGTCGGCGCCTCCCATCCCTCCGGTCTACGTTCCCACCGAACAACCCCTGTGTCGTCCCACCATGGCAGCCGTCACAGATCCACAAGAGGCCACCAACGCCACCCGTCCGCCGCAAGGCGACAATCGACAACCGTCATCAAGCTTCTGAACTTGACTGAAAGAAAACAGAAGTGCAGCTGATTACCTAACAAATCACCCCCCTAATCTGCTGCACCTGAGAGATCCCAAGCCTGTGTCGCAGCTCACTGAACTGCGTTCTGCCCAGTGACTTGGTGAGTATATCTGCCACTTGATCACCTGTTCTTACGTGCTCAACATCTACCCTGCCCAGCTCAACACATTCCCGTATATAATGATACCTGAGATCAATATGTTTGCTCCTTTCATGATGGACTGGGTTCTTGCTGAGCTCAATGGCCGATTTGTTGTCGATCTTCAGCTTCACTTTCTGCACCTCTTCGCCAACCATTTCTGCAAGGAGCCTACTCAGCCAGACGGCCTGTGTGGCAGCAGTTGCTCCAGCTATGTATTCTGCCTCGCATGACGACAGGGCCACGATCTTCTGTTTCTGCGAGGTCCAAGTGATCACACCTGATCCAAGGAAGAAAACAACTCCAGTGGTACCCTTGCGATCATTGAGATCACCAGCGTGATCACTATCACTGTAGCCTGTCAGCACATCTTTCTCTCCTTTTCTGAAGAAACACCCAAGGCCAAGTGTACCTCTGATGTAGCGCAGGAGTAGCTTCACTGCAATCCAGTGCTCCTTGCCAGGTGATTCCATGAACCTGCTGAGAATCCCTACGGCATATGAAATGTTAGGCCTGGTGTTTACCAAGTATCTCAGGCTGCCAATCAGACTGCGGTATTCTGTCGAGTCCACTGCCTCACCAGTGTTCTTCTTCAGTTTCAGGCGATTCTCCATCGGTGTGTTGCAAGAGTTGCAGTCACTCATACCTGCGTCCTCCAGAATCTTTGCTGCATAGCTTGACTGACACACCGTGATCCCATCATCCTCTTGCTTCACCTCAATTCCCAGGTAATAGCTGAGAAGACCCAGATCAGTCATCTGGAAGAGCTCCTGCATCTGTTTCTTGAAGTGTTCAATGGCTTCTGCCTCTGTGCCCGTGATGATCAGATCATCCACATACACCCCAACCAGCAAGAACCCAGCTTTGTCTTCCCGCCTGTATAACGCATGATCCAGCTGGCAGCGCTTGAAACCAAGTGCATGAAGCGTGGCGTCCAGCTTTGCATTCCATGCGCGAGGAGCCTGACGAAGACCATACAGAGCTTTCTGCAACCTGAGCACGCAGTGAGTGTTGTTGCTGTCGACAAATCCTGCGGGCTGCTGAACATACACTTCTTCCTGGAGATCTTCATTGAGGAACGCGGAGCGCACATCCATGTGATGCACACCCCAGCTCCGGTGAGCCGCCACGGCCAGCAGAAGCCGCACTGTCTCCAGACGAGCGACAGGTGCGAAGACCTCATCAAAATCCACTCCCTGCCGCTGTGCATATCTCTTCGCAACCAAACGAGCCTTGTGCTTTATGATCTTGCCGTCCGGATCGCGCCTGACCTTGAAAACCCACTTCAGTCCAATGGCGCGGTGGCCGGCGGGCAGCGTGGCCGGGA